GTCGTCGCAATATATAAGGGCCGGACTCAAATAGTTTCGGAGATACAGGCTGAGAAAGGATACAAATAATAAATATGTATATGGTAATTCTTCAGTATAGCTGCTCCACCTCCAAAATCAATCAAATTGGTCTCATTCGATGTGTATGCGCCTTTCCGTTTATGTTTTGCGCCGTTGTATCTGTGCATCGTGCACCCTAGGGCTCGCGCTGTGCCCCTTTGTTAGTTTTTTTTTGTTTTTGGTTCGTTACCGGCACGCACGCGACAGCAGCGTCTCTAAGCGTTCGTTTTGTAAGTCGACTAGAGTCGTACGAACAGCCGAGCCGAACACAGCGTGTCCGTTAGCCGCTGTGTACAGAAAACATTCGAGAAGATATTCGCATGTGTATGGTGAGTGAAATAAAGAGCGTCCACGTACGCATAACAGGCGCCTTCTTAATCTGGCCCTCAAACGAAACATGGTCCTTCGAGCCGGATCAGCTAATCGAGTTGATTCCGTGATTTCCTACGCCACCATACATCTACATTGAGGGCTCGCTGAATGACGAAGACGTCTTCGTCCGCCATTTTGTAAGGGCGACTCTACTCGCACGGCATATTCGCACTGCCCTTCGGAAGTAAAACAGATACTTCCGAGCAACAATCTTGGACTCGAGCGGCACTTCGGCCCACGAACGAGTATCGCCGCACGAGGCGCATCACATAACCAAAGGGGTAATTCGGCAATCGGCCGGATTAGAACTACCACGGAAGCAGCCTAGTTCCTCGTGGTCGTTACCGGCACCAGCATCTTCGGCGTCGAGCGTCTGGTCAACCTGCAGCTTTTGTCGCTTCATCGAGGCAATCCAGCAGCGAGGCGACCCGGGACAGCTTTGCGACAGCCGTTTCGAGCGCAAGTACACGACCGTCGGCAAGACCGTAATTCACGTTAATATTGTAGCGAGCGCGTTATTCTGATATTGTTCCTAGTAGGCGTGTTAATTGTATCGGTTAACTGTACACGAAATGGCAACTTACACAGCCAGTGAAGCGAAGAACAAACGTAAGGCTATTAAGTCGATGGCCACGCGCATTCGGACATTCCTGGATCAGTCGGATCCCACGCAATTGTCGCGATTTGATCTCACGGAGCGTGTGAAAAAATTAAACTTCGTTGTGGGCTCAATATGACGAAACGCAAACACGTATCGAGATGTTAGACCTTGAGAATCCCGGCGATAAAGAAGAGGCTGCTTTGCTTAAGCAACATTCAGATGAGCGTTCAAGTTTTTAGATACCGTACTTTAATTTGATCGCTCGTTTCGAGTCAGCTATTCACGAACTCGAAGTTCGCGAGAGTCCGGCGGACGCCGAACCTCAGGAATCCACAACGATACCCCAACGTAATCCTGTATCGAGTCAGCTTCGGTTACCCAAAATTACACTGCCATCTTTTTCAGGAAATTATGAGGATTGGTATACTTTTTACGACACGTTTGATAAGTTGATCCACCAAAACCCCGATTTATCTGGAATCGAGAAATTTCATTTCCTGAAAACATCCCTCAAGGGTGATGCAGCTGGGCTCATAAAATCAATTGAAATTACGACAGAGAATTACGAGGAAGCGTGGGAATTGCTCATTGAAAGGTACGATAATCGTCGTCAAATAGTTGACAGTCATGTTAAATCGCTTTTCGAATTGCCTGCTATGGCAAGGGAAAATTACAAGCAACTGCGCGCCCTGCTTGATGGCGTTTGCAAACATTTACGTGCTCTTAAAGCTCTTGATCGACCGGTTGATTCGTGGGACGATCTTATCGTTCATATGGTCCTTTCTAAACTGGATACCACAACCAAGAAGGAATTTGAAACGAGTCGGCCTGACTCTTCGTATCCTAAGTTCAAGGAACTTAAGGAGTTCTTGTCGCAAAGATGTTTAGCTTTAGAGTCAATAGCAAATAAAGCTAGTCATTCGAACTCGGCTGCCAATAGCAGCAATCAAACTCAGAAGGCAAAACAGAACGTGGCAAACGCAGCCACTACAAATCTCAGTTGTAATTATTGCAAAGAGAGTCATTTCTTATATCAATGTGAAGCGTTTAAAAAATTGTCGGTCGATAAGCGTTTCAGGTTCGTCAAGGATTCCCATCTATGCATCAACTGCTTAAGGTCTGGCAAGCATCAAGCCAAAAATTGTCCCTCATCATCTTGTCGTAAATGCCAAGGAGCTCATAACACTCTTCTACATTTTGAAGCTGGTGCATCACGGGATGCTAGTTCTTCGGGAACAACCTCAGAGAAGGAAACGACAGTCGCTCCTGTGGTTACACAATGTTCTCTGCAAAATCGCTCAAGGGTGCTCTTGTCCACTGTGGTTGTTCATGTGTGTGATTCAAGGGGCAAGACCATTGCATGTCGAGCTCTATTGGACAGCGGTTCACAACTGAACTTTGTTACCGAAAATTTCGCTAGTAAACTACGATTAAATAAGCAATCGGTAAACCTGCCAATTTCTGGCATTGCACAAGGCAACGTAATGGCGAGACATTCTGCCAACGTAACCATACAGTCTCGATTCAATAACTATAGGGAACAAATAGATTGCATTATTCTTCCTAAAATCACCCAAAAACTGCCACAAGAGTTTATACAAACGTCGCAATTTAAAATTCCGGCCAACGTCCGACTAGCGGATTCTAATTTTAACATTCTGGGTGATATCGATCTATTCATAGGAGCTGAACTGTTTTGGCGGCTCATTTGCATAGGCCAAATTCGAGGGTGCAGAAGCCACCCTACGCTTCAGAAAACGAAACTTGGGTGGATTCTTTCGGGTCAGGTAACGCATTCACGTGGTTCGAGAAAGGATGCTGCTTGTCATCCAGCGGCTACTGACGATCTCCATGAGACCATTTCCAGGTTTTGGGAAGTGGAAAACAATTCCCTTAATAAGACTAATGTACTTTCAACAGAGGAGACCGAATGTGAACGACACTTTCGGGAGACCACATCGCGTGCTAGGGACGGTCGCTTTATCGTTAAACTTCCCATTAAAGAGGACGTAGTTTCGCAATTGGGCGATTCTAAGCGAATTGCTGAGCGGCGTTTCTTTGCGTTAGAGAGGAGGCTATCAAAACAGCCCGATATTTACGACGAATATCGCAGCTTCATGAACACCAGCAAATGAACACCAAAGTTACGATGATCGGAAGAAGATCGTAGATATACGCACGCTCCGTACGCTTGCTGGCTTGCATCCGAGAATCCATACAGCTCAATGAAGTTTGCATCATCAACCAGGATTTTACGAGGTATTTCTATATTGTTTAACTGCCTCAATTGATCTTCATACATCCGCCATCTAGAATCAGGCTCCATGGGAACCGACTCATCCCATTCAATTCCTGACATCCACAACTCTTGCATGACAAGTTTTCCAATTACAATGCTGGGACCCAACAAGCCTAACGGGTCGAAAAGCAGAGCGATTCTGGATAGGATGTTACGTTTCGTCAGGCGTGTCGAAGATGATTGTTCATTGGGGTTTGTGAAACTAAAAACGTCCCGCTGGCAATTCCAGCGTACACCAAGTGTGCGAGTTCTGTCGTGATCGGACCCAGAGTCTATTTCCCTGACGCCCTTAGGATCGCTATCCCCTAATGACGGATCATTAGAAAACCACTTTCTCAATTCGAAACCTTCACCTTCTAATAAGCCGACTATCTGGTCTCTTATGTCCAGCGCCTCCCTCAAGGTGGGAGCACCAGTCAGCATGTCGTCGACATAGAAATCCCTTAACGTTACCTTCGACCCTCAGGGATATGGAGCGGCGCCTTCCTGTGCCAATTGCTGCATAGAGCGTATGGCCAAGAAGGAGGCAGAGGCCGTGCCGTAGGTGACAGTGGCCAGCTCAAATACTTTCAATTCCTGCCGAGGATCGTCCCTCCAAAGAATGCGTTGAAGACAACGTTGGGAGGGATCGATACGCACCTGCCTGTACATTTTTGCGACATCAGCGATCATTGCGAAACGAAATGCACGAAAACGAGCCAAACTCGAGAACAAGTCTTGTTGAATTGTGGGACCAACGAGCAATGCGTCATTTAATGACCGGCCCGTTTCCGTCTTACAAGAAGCATCAAATACAACGCGCAGTCTAGTGGTCGTGCTCGTGTTCTTAACAACTGCGTGATGCGGAAGATAATAATGAACGCGATTGACAGAGCTTGACGTATCCTCTACTGGAAGCATGTGATTAAGCTGTCGATATTCATGCATGAAGCATTTGATAGCGTCTAAGTCACGTGTAGCCCCGGTTAAGGGTCTTTCGATACCACGATTAGAGCTCTGCGGCGCGCTGCTACTCGCGCAGTTAGTTGATAAACTGAAGAAATGTTTGTGTCTTCCAATCGACAATACATACTATTGGACTGATTCTAGCATCGTCATCCATTGGTTACGGGGATCCAGTAGAAACTGGACCACGTTTGTCGCGAATCGCGTTGGAGAAATCCAGACGCTAACATTAATCCAAAATTGGCGGCACGTGTCAAGTAAAGAGAACCCAGCGGATTCACTCTCGAGAGGTGTCATGCCTGGGGAATTGTTGCAAACAGACATTTGGTGGCACGGGCCTAAATGGTTGCAGAGTACTGAGTCCGAATGGCCTGCCTCTCGTGTGAATATTCCGGACGAAATCCCGGATAAACGAAAGACAAATACGGCACGTTTTTCTTGTTTAATTGCGGGGGAACCGGAACTCGACATTTTTGAAAGATACTCTAGTTACGAAAGACTCATACGAGTGTTCGCGTGTTGTTTACGATTTATCAATGCGATCAAGCGAAAAAGGGGGGGAGTCGATTGTAAGCATTCTGATGGTAAGTTAGCAACCTCGGTAGTACCATACTCAGTCGAAGAGTTGTAAAACTCAAAGGTAAACCTTGTTAAAATCTTGCAAAGGAGGTACTTTAAGGCAGAGATTGATGACTTGTCCAAACTTGGTACTATAAAAAAGGGGAGTTCCTTGTTGAAATTAAATCCCTTTTTGGACGAGGGTGGAATCCTGAGAGTGGGTGGCCGCCTGAAGCATGCGAATTTGTCATACAGTAGCGGCGGAAAGTATTTTGACAACACGTTTTTTACCGCTAGAGGGCACATCGGACGCGCTGCTGGCTAGAAGTTATTGTTAGTGAATACTTTTCTGCAGTCTGCAGCGGTAACAG